TGCCATGAATTATTTTTTCTCTTATTAACTTTAAAATATCAAATTTATTTAAGATTTATGTTGTGTATTCCTTTTTTATATTTTATTCTCAATCTTTATTTCATTCAATTTCATTTAACACACTACCCAATATTTCATATGTAACCTCAGGATCTTTTAGGCTAAACAGTTCTTTCCAACAGTAATTGTTTATATCATTTATAGTACTACTTATGTTAATGTTATTAATAATCATTAAAATATCTATATTCTTTTTCACAGTTTGTTTCATTGCCTTTAAATTGCTTTTCAAATTTACCAATATTATCTTATGATCTGATATTTTTTCCCTTGATTACAGAAATTTTTACATTTATCCCTGAAAGTTTTGTGTACACATAATCTGAACATGAAAATATGATACCTTATAATCTGAGGGCTTTCGAAAGATGACCCTTTTTTTTTTTTCGGAGTCAAACTGAATTTCAACAGCAACTGTTCAAAAATGTTCCCACTTATTGTGAATATTAATAATATTTATGTGCAACAGATTCAAAATATCACTGCTATTCAAAATATGTTCTTATTTGCATTTAACATCATTTATAATTTCTATTTGTTCAGTTTATTGCAGTATATTCATTATTTCTCATAATAATATCAACAGATTACAATAATAAAAAAACGGAAATATTTTTTAAATTATAAATTTCCAAAATTAACATCCAATTTTGATTTATTATATTTTCTGATTTCCATCAATTTTTGCAAATATATATTGCTTTTTAGCAAGTTTCTAGCATTTCAAAACAGTTCTTTGTTAGCAGCCGTTAGATTTTCTTTTAGATAAACTCTGCCTTCTGCCACATTCTGTTGTGTTTGATTTCATTAACCACTTTCTACTTATTCTCAACCATTTCTCTTTATTCAAAACACTTTTGAATCGAACTATTATAGGTGTTGTTGTTTTTAGTATTATGAACAGGTATTCCATGAGCCATTATTATTTCATCTTTTTTTATAATCTGGTATATCAAACTCTTTAGCCACGCTGTACAGAACATTTTATAGTTCCTCGTTATCTTGTTGCATTATTCTATGTATCTCTAATTTGCTTCTTTGTTCCATATTATTAATTAGAATCAATATTTTTGAAGTTACTATTTTGAATATTATTAACTTTCAAAGTTTTCACATTCTTTTTTAATACACTGACATCTTCTGCACGTTTGTGTTAAGGATATTTCATCACACTTAGCTGATAAAAAGTTTACAGAATCTTTGATTTCATTTATATCCATTTTTACTAATCTAACAAGTTTAATTTTTTGCTTATACTTTAGAGCATAGTTATGACCAGTAGGTTTTTCAAAACACAATCAGTCATACCTAGGCCTAGATGACTTTTTAGGATCTTCTCTTGGCCTCTAGTTTCAGTAATTTTTAATAAATTAGTTGTTTCAGTTACATTTTTATTTACTTGATTTCCAGTGTCATTAGCTTTAGAGGTAGATTTTCCATCATTGATTAAACCTGAATTTTCTGTGTTTAATGGTTCCTCAACTGCAGAAACAACAATATAATATTTTTTTGGCATTAGACATACATCTGCATATCAACACTGCTATAAAAAGCATGCAATTGAAAATTTGGGCAGAAGCATTCACTATGCTAAAGTAACTGTACTCTTTAACACACTTTTCAGTAATATTCTAATTTCAAATAACTACAAAGCTTAGTACTATTTAAAGTTAAACAATAGTTTTATACCTATTTATCCAGTATAGGCACCTTTTCTCAGTATATTACAAAGTATGCTACTCAACGATTTTTGTATCCGAGTAGTGAAAATAAATGTACTATCAGAAATTCTGCTTAACTTATCAAGAAAATTAAAGGCATTAAATTTAATCCTTTTGATAAGTTGGTGTCATTTGCTGTAGTTGGTTATTTTCTAAAGTTCCAGTGGAAAAATGCTATAAATTGTTTTTACGAAAGATTAGTTCAAGCTTCCATTTCTTTAACTGAAATTGTTTACATCATAGATATAACTAGTGTGTGTGTTTAAAATTATTTTTTATTGTTCTGAGCAGAATAATGGATTAACCATGGGTTCCCTTCTTTCTCCACAACCATGCAACTTTTATGTGGATAGTTTCAAATGCATTGCTCTCGATAATGCTTCTTTTAAAACTTGATTGTTGAAATAGATTTGTGGATGACACATTCTTGGTTTGGTAGCTTGGAGACAGTGAGTTAAAAACATTGACTGATTATCTAAACAATGTTGATTCTTCTAAATCTATTCAGTTTGCATAAGAGATTTAACAAGATAATTGTTTATCCTTTTTTTAATGTACTTGTTAAAAGAAATAATAATGGAACTATTTCTACTACTGTTTATTGAAAACTATATTCAGTGTCCATGCCATTACATAAAAGATTATGTCACCCATTTTCTCAAAAACTAGCAGCTTTTCATACTTATATGGACAGAGCCTTTACAATTTGTTCTGATACAACTAATTTGAAAAACAAATTGAATTATATAAAAAACATTGATAATGCTGACACCATTGAATATGTAATACAAAAAGATAAAACTCAATTTTATTAAGCAATGTACTCAATCAAATAGTGTCTATGACTAGATGTACACAGCATGGTCACAAGTAAATAGACATAAAAATCACCTTACAAGTGAACTATTCAGAATCCTAGTGCAAATAACTACATTAAATATGAATTTATTTATTAAAAATAGCAGAAAAACATATTTTTCTTAAACTACATACTTTTAGGAAAGTTTTTGCCAAATTTCAAATAATTTCACCCACTAGTTTTATTTTTGTAGTGAAATACAATGAGAGCAACATTACCTTCTCTCTGAGAGTGTAACTTGAGGTTCTATGGTTAAAGCAATTAGTCATCCACATAGACTGTGAAAATGAAGAAGACAAGGAAAGTCCTTGACCACCCAACATTACATATAGAGTGCAGAAGCCAGACCAAATGGAAAAGCTCAGAATTGATATACAC